AAAAAAAAGTCAGCACTGATTAGTCTCCAAATACAGAAATGAAAAGAAGGGTGTCTCCTTTGTTAAATAAAATGATCTCTCTCTTAGATAGATCAAACAAGCCATCTCTTCATGTGGATTTGTGCCCTTTTTGTTCTTTTTTTAATTTTATAAATTTTGTTTTTAAGTAAGCTCCATGCTCACTGTAGAGGTCAATGCAGGGCTTGAACTCATGACCCTGAGATCAAGATGTGAGCTGAGATCAAGAGCTGGACACTTAACCAACTGAACCACCCAGGTGCCCCAGCTGCCCTTTTTGTTCTAAGGCATCCCTCAAACAAGGAATCTTGTTCATGGCAGAAGTTTCCTGAAGTAGTAACTGCAATTTCAAAATTTCCCTGGTGAAATTATGCCAGTTCCAGTTAACTAAACATATGTATTGATGTTTCGGTGAAAAAACACGAAGGACACAGGTGCTTGGCCTGAGAAGATCCTGTGAGAATTGCAATGCTCCATCAGGGTGGTGCTTGTGTAACTGGCATCTCCAGATTCTGGCTAAAGGCCAATCATCATGATCATGGGCCAGGAACAAAAACCCTCCTGACTGAGCAGATGAAACTAAACAAAGCAATTCTCAGGGACACAAAGACAAGACTGAAGAAGAAATTCATGTAAGTTTTGTTTGTTTTATTGTGGTGAAATACACATAACATAAAATTTACCATCTTTACCACTTTAAGTGTACATTTCAGGAGTATTAAATATGGTCATAATATTGTGCAACTATTACCACCATCCATCTCCGTAACTTTTCGTCTTATAAAACTGAAACTTCAGGGGCGCTTTAGTGAATCAGTTGGTTACATATCTGCCTTTGACTTGGGTCATGATCCCAGGGTCCTGGAATCAAGCCTTGTGTAGGCTTCCCTGCTCAGCAGGGAGTCTGCTTGTTTCTCTGCACCCCCGCCCCCCGCCGCCTTTGCTCCCCCCCCCCACACTGGTGCTGGAGCAAGCACACATGCTCTCTTTCTCTCTCAAATAAATAAATCTTAAAAAAAAAAAACAACTAGGGGGTGCCTGAGTGGCTGAGTCGGTTAAGCGTCTGCCTTCGGCTTAGGTTATGATCCTGGGGTCCTGGGATGGACCCCACCTCACGATCCCTGCTTAATGAGGAGTCTGCTTCTCCCTCTCCCTCTCCTGGCCCCCCACTCCCTGCTCGTGCTCTCTCTATCTCTCTCTCAAATAAATTAATAAAATCTAAAAAAAAAAGTAAAAAAAAACCCTGAAACTCTATTCATTAAACACTAACTCCCTATTTTCCCCACCCCCCAGCCCCTGGTAACCCATCATTCTACTTTCTGTCTCTATGATTTTGACTATTCTAAGTACCTCATGTAAGTGGACTCATTCAGTATTCTTTTGGGGACTGGCTTATCTCACTTAGCATAATGTCCTCAGCGTTTATTCATGTTGTAGCGTGTGTCAGAATTTCCTTCCTTAAAGGCTGAATAATATACCATCGTGGGTATATATCACATTTTGCTTATCCATTCATCCACCAATGGGTACTTGGGTTGCTTCCATGTTTACCTGTGGTGAATAATGCTGCTACGAACATGTGTGTACAAATAATCTATTTGAGACTGCTTCCATGTAAGATTTTCTTTTTTTAAAATTGAATTTATTAGCTCCTTGCAATGAGAGAGACCGCACACCATGGGGAACCATGGAGTATCTGAAAAAGGGGTGTTGGAAGTAAGTGATTATGGGATTTGAGCCTATGTTAGATGGTTTTTGTGGTTTTCAGGGTAGGGTCTTGCACTTATTTTGTTAAATTTGTTTCTAAGTGTTTTTATTATTTTTTAAAAAGATTTTTATTTTATTTAAAAAAAAAGATTTTATTTATTTATTCATGAGATGCACAGAGAGAGAGAGGCAGAGACACAGGCAGAGGGAGAAGCAGGCTCCACGCAGGGAGCCTGATGCGGACCCGATCCCGGGGCTCCAGGATCACGCCGTGGGCCGAAGGCAGACACTAAACCACTGAGCCACCCAGGGAGCCCTAAAAAGATTTTTAATTTATTTATTCAGGAGAGACACAGAGAGAGAGAGAGGCAGAGACACAGGCAGAGTGACAAGCAGACTCCTCACAGGGAGCCGGATGTGGGACCCGATCCAGGGACCCCGGGATCACGCCCTGAGTCAAAAACAGACGCTCAACTGCTGAGCCACCCAGATGTCCCCGTTCTTTTTGATGGTATTGCAAATGGAATTGTTCCCTTTTGTTTTTGGATTGTTCATTTGCAGTGTGTAGAAATACAACTGAGCTTTATAATATTGATCTTATATCCTGCAACCTCGCTGGTCTCATTTATTAACTCTAATGATTTTGATGTGGATTCCTTAAGATTATCCATGTAAAAGGCCAGGCCATTTACAAATGGAAATGATTTCACTTCTGCCTTTCCACTCTGGATGCCTTTTTTTTCTTGCCAAAGTGTCCTGGCTAGAACCTTCAGTACAATGTCAAATAGAAGTGAGAGGGAATATCCTTATCTTTCTTTCTTTTTTTTAATTAATTAATTTTAATTAATTAATTTTTAATTATTTTTTTAAAGTAAGCTCTACACCCAATGTGAGGCTAGAACTCACCACCATGAGATCAAGAGTCATATGTTCTATGGATTGAGCCAGCCAGGTCACCCTTGGAACATCCTTGTCTTGATCCTGATCCCTGGGGAAAAAGCTTTCAGTCATTCATTGTTAAGTATGTTGTTAGCTGTGGGGTTTTTTTTTAAAGATTTTATTTATTTATTCATGAAAGACACAGAGAAAGAGGCAGATACATAGGCAGAAGGAGAGGTAGGCTTCCTATGGGGAGCCCGATGTGAGACTCAATCCCAGGACCCCAGGATCATGCCTCGAGCCAAAGGCAGACACTCAACCACTGAGCCACCCAGGCGCCCCTGTGGGGTTTTGTCCTTTATCAGGTTGAGGATGTCCTCTTCTATTCCTAGTTTGTTGATATGTGTTACTTCTCAGCTTAAAACAACAGGCTTACAACAACACTAACTCTCAGTTTCTGTGGGTCAGGACTCAGGATGTGGCTTAACTGGGATATCTGCTTAGGGTTGCACAAGGCTGAAATGAAGGTGCTGACAAGGGCTGCAGTCTCATCTAAGGCTTGACTGGGGAAGGATCCAAGCTCACTCTGGTCATTAGCAGAATTGAGTTCTTTGCAGGGGAAGGACTGGGGGCTTTGATTTCTTGCAGGCTGTCATCCGGAGGCCACCTTCAATTCCTAGAGACTAACCTCTCTTTCTTGCCATCTGAAGTTCCCAAAGTGGCCCCTTGCTTCATCAAAGCTAGTAAGGGAGTGGGAGTCACCTCATGACAAGAAGGTCATTTTGATAAAGTAGGCAGTTAGCTAGACATGAACTGGAGGCAAAGGTGGTGATAAATAGGTGACACTTTAGAAGCTTGAAGGGACAACACTCTGACTTCTGGCTTCTAACATCCTGGCCTTAAAGCTTCTAATACCCTGGGGCTGACAGGCCAAGAGCCATAGGTGCAGAATATGTGCTCTCTTCTTCCACCTCTGCCCTAGGGTAACCTATACTTTCATCATAATATATTTACATTATATATTACAATGGCCAGAGTGGCCCAGGGTCCAGCCACCAGTCTGCGCCCAGTTTCAATGTGCCTCCCTCCACTGTAGCCATAACAGTTCCAGCAAGAACCTTGTAGGGCCCAAAACTCTCCCTCTCAAGTGGTAGGAGGAATTCCTTAGATGGTTGGAAACAACCTCAGTCAGAGATCGCTAGCTATGACCCACAACCTATACGACCATAAAAAGAAAAGGCATCCCTAACCCCAGTTCAGTTGCCACCTCCGGCCTGCCCACTCTCCATTTTTGAGAGTGTACTGTCCTTAATATGCTGCTTTGTGCTTGCTACCTTCCCTGGGGCTGTCTCTATTCCAGTGTGGATCCTCATGTAAATCTCTTATGGGGAATCCAAGAACCAACACCTCCATTCACCCAATGTAGTCTCTCCTGCAACAATTCCAACCTCATTTCTAACATAATTATGTACATGTAATCACATATATCTGGTCACCTTTGGTCATGCACATTTTCAAAGGGGAGGGGATTACGCAAGATTGTGGACACCAGGAGACAAGGATCATGGGAACCACCTTAAACACGTGTCCATCACACCATCACTGGGTACATCATTTTCAGGTCCATAAAGGCATGTGTGTGATGGTTTTCTTTGTAAGTTGTTTGTAACACTGAAGAGCTGGAGACAGAAAATCAATGGATGAGATATACTCACAGCAGCATAAACGGATCTTTCTTTCCTTCACTTTTAATTTGTGCCATTACCATACTTTAATTTCTGAATGAAAATATCTTTATTTTTTATCTGATTATAATATTCATTGCAACACTTTTTCAGATAAGAGAGAAATGTAAAGGAGAAAGTGACAAACCATTATTTATCTCCCCACCCAGAAATTATCACTAACACTCCCTCCCCAACGTTTTTTTTGCCCAACGTATAGACAAATTTCACCAAAGTTTTGTTTCCTTTGATGCATCATTTTAAGTGGCTTGAAATCCTTTCTGGAACAATATATGGATAAAATCTATTCGATTCTGTATCTATGCTCACCCACAGTGGCGAGTAACTGTTCATCCAGCGAACAAAGTCTTCTATCTCCTCCTCAGGGAGGGCGGGTGGGGACCAGACCCCATTCCACTCCATTGAGTCAATTTTGCCTGCTTATCTGCTATGGGACCCCGAGGTCTGTTGCCCCGGCAACTGCCCTTCGACTGCCATGGCAACCGCCAGCGCCTGCTCCAGCTCACCACCTTGCCCCTCGGGCATCTCCATGGCGACGGGTAGGATGGAGGCGCTGCTGGAGCTCCCAGGCTGCGCCTGCGTGGAGTGGCGGGAGAGGGGGTGGGCAGGGGAGGGCCGGGCCCCCCGGCGTGCGCAGCCGCAAAGCACCGCAGCCTTGCCCGCTCGCCCAGGCGCTGCGCATTTGCCAGCCAGTCCGCCCGTCCGGAGCCCGGCTCGCTGGGGCAGCATGGCGTGGTCGCCGCTGCTCGGCGGGCCGCGGGCCGGGGGCGTCGGCCTTTTGGTGCTGCTGCTGTTGGGCTTACTTCGGCCGCCTCCCGCGTTCTGCGCGCGGCCGGTAAAGGTGCGACACCGGTCGGGCGCGGGGTGGGGGTGGGCAGGAGGGTGCTGCGGGCGAGGGTGTGTGCTCGGCTGCTGGCCCCTCGTCCTCGCTGGCCCGTGCCTGCCCCTGGACGTGCGGGGACATCGGCCAGGGTGGCCCGGGGTGCTCGCGCGGGGCTCGGTCTCTGGGTGTGCGAGGACCGGCTGGCAGCCACGCCCTGGCCACCCTTGGCACCTGGCGCGGGCCGGCCTCGCCCGGGGCGCTGTCCAGGGCACTAGTGCGCATTAAGGAAGGGGGTGCGCGCACGGATCTGCGTGCGCAAGATGCGATGACAGGCGTGAGAATGTGGTGGCCCTGTGAGTGCGCGTCTTTTGATGTGAGCGCTTCCGAGCGCCGGTACAGAGGTGCGATCGTGAGTGTGTGTGTGTGTGTGTGTGCTGTGTGTGATGCCGGCTGTGTTCCTGCGTTTGACTTGTCTCAGTGACGCCGTGTGAGTGTTTGTGAATCCTATGTTATGGCTGGCCTATGGGCGTGTCAGTGTGTGTGTGAGATTTCGTTTTTTAGGTGGGAGTGGTCTTTGCATCCACATGTGTGCATCCCATTTTGGTTCTGTTGGACTAGGATTTTGTACGCGTGTTCCCAAGGCTGTTTCTGTCTCTTTATGCAGCTGTGTCATCGTGGGGAGAGGAGCCATGATGTTTCTGCTGCATTGTGTCTTTAAGGGTGGTGCATGTCCTTGCATCTGGGTAGCTTGGGCATCGTAACCGCAGGAGCAGCCCTGTATGTGAACGTGTGCAGTTACTTGTGTGTGGATGCGGCACGTGTGACATCCCAAGGCCTGCTAGTCCACGAGAATTTATGTGAGGCTATGATTGCTGAGTGTGTGATTCTCTAGGGGCTAAGGGGTGGTGGGTGTCCAGGGCACTTGGAACGTATCATCCTTCAACTCATCAGGGCTGTCTGTGTCAAGGATGGAGGATTTTTAAAAAATTATTAAATATTTGATATATGACATAATATAGTTAATATACACGTATGATGTAAGGAATGATGATAATTAATAACCCCTGTGTGTATCCACCACTCAGTTGAAGAAATAGAGCGTGACCAATAGTTAGAAGCCCCTGGGGGCCGCTGCACACAGCATCCCTCCTGCTCCATAATCATTATCCTCTTTTCTGTTCATCAATTCCTTACTTGTGTTTGTAGCTTATCACATATGTATGTATGTCTAAATAATATGTTATTTCGCCTTTCCTCATAGAAATGGAATCATACCAGGCATTGGGCCCTTTGTGGTCACTAGGGGTCACTAGGAAGTCATCAGGGTGGCTGGTAGTCTTAGGCTGCCTGCAGTGGCATTCTATAACTTGCTTTTTTTTTTTTTGGCTCTGCATTGATAGTGAGATGCGTGCACCATCCACATTTCTGCATTGAAGTGTGTGGCTATAATTCATTTATCTTTATTGCATAATATTTTATTTTATTTTTTTAAGATTTATTTATTTATTCATGATAGACACATAGAGAGAGAGGTGGAGACACAGGCAAAGGGAGAAGCAGGCTCCATGCAGGGAGCCCGACGTGGGACTCAATCCCGGGAATCCAGGATCGCGTCCTGGGCCGAAGGCAGGCGCTAAACCACTGAGCCACCCAGGGATCCCCAATATTTTATTTTCTGAGTATATCATCAATAAATGAGTATATTATGGTTGACAAATGCATTCTCAATATATCAGTAGACATTTGGGTGGTTTCCAGGCTTTCTTCCCCACTCTGCCCACTTCTTGATGTCACAAATAGTGCCTATGTGATTTTTCATGAACTCATGTCCAGTATAGTATGTGTACAAAAACTATAGCACCCCAGGAGTGGGTCACAGGATTTGTGTATCTTTTTAGACGTTGCCAAATTGTTTTTTTAAAGTTATTTTGGCAATTGAATTCCCACCAGCAATGTATGAGAGTTTCTGTTTTTCCCACCCCCCTGTCAACATTGGACATCATTGGGCAGTTTAAGTTCTGGCAATCTTTTGGACAAATTATGCATACTACCTCACTGGCACTTTAATTTACATTTTCCTGATTACTAATGAGGCTCACAATTTTTCATATATTTAGTAACTATTTTTGTTTCCTTTTTAAAAAAGATTTTATTTATTTATTCATGAGAGACACAGAAAGAGGGAGAAAGAGAGGCAGAGACCTAGACAGAGGGAGAAGCCGGCTCCATGCAAGGAGCCTGATATGGGACTCGATCTTGGATCCCGGGCTCACGCCCTGAGCCAAAGGCAGACTCTCAACCACTGAGCCACCCAGGCGTCCCCTATTTATGTTTCCTTTTTTATAGAATACTTGATCATCAGTTTTCCCTATTTTTTAAATTTATTTTTTATCTAAATAATCTCTGTACCCCACGTGGGACTGGAACTTACGACCCCCAAATCAAGAGTCGCGTGCTCTTCCTGCTGAGCCAGCCAGGCACCCCTCCCTATTTTTGTATTAGTTTTTCTGTTTGCTTTTTACACATTTTTTTTTGGTAGAATTCTAGATGTTCTAGGTGTTTCTTTTTCAATTCTTCACGGTCATTTTAATGGTCTTATGGTCTTTTGTTCCTTACTCATACTTTTGATACTGTCTTTTATTTCTTTTTTAAAAGATTTTATTTATTCATTCATGAGAGACAGAGAAAGAGAGAGAGGTAGAGACATAGGCAGAGGGAGAAGCAGGCTCCACGCAGGGAGCCCAATGTGGGACTGGATCCCGGGACCCCTGGGACCGCAGGATCCCACCCTGAGCGGAAGGCAGACGCTCAACCACGGAGCCACCCAGGCGTCCCTGTCTTTTATTTCTTTAAAGCTTTTGAAATTGTCTCAAAACCGTCTAAATTGAAAATTAGTTACTGGGTAATTTATCCTACAGAAAGATTTACACATATGCCAAAAAATATACGAACAAGGTTATTCATCCCAACATTACAAGAATAGCAAAAGATTGGGGGGGAACCTGGCTGGCTCAGTTGGTAGAACACCAGGCTCTTAATGGGGTTGTGAGTTTCAGTCCCATATTGGGACTGAAGTATAGAGTATATTTAAGTATAGAGATTACTTAAAAAATAAAATCTTGGGGTGCTTGGGTGGCTCAGTCCGTTAAGTATCTGCCTTCGGTTCAGGTCATGGTCCTGGAGTCTTGTGATTGAGCCCCTTAGAGCCCCCTATCGGGCACCCTGCTCAGCGGGGAGTCTACTTCTCCCCCAGGCTCCTCACCTCACTCATGCTCTCTCTCTGTCTCTCTAAAATAAACAAATAAAATCTATAAAAATTAAAATATTTTAAAAAAGGAATAGCAAAAGATTGGAAACACTGTAAATGTCCATCAATCGAAGACTAGTTAAATATGTACATCCATACAAAAGGGATTCAATGCAGAGGAAAAAAAGGCAAAGAGGAGGAGAGAGAAGGAAAGGGGGGAGGGAGGGAACAAGAGAGGGAGAGGGAGGGAGGGAGGAGAAAGAAAAGGAAGAGAGAGATGTACTGAAAGTACTGATCTAGATATAGATTCAGAAATGCAAGGTGTGGAACAGTTCGCTAACTTTTGCATAAAACAAGTGAACGATAGGAACCTATAAAATGCAAATATGGTTCTTATAGTCCACAACATCAATATAGACAAATCTATGGCTGTATATCCATCACCACCTATAAAGAAACCCGTTCTCGGGCAGCCCTGGTGGCCCAGCGGTTTAGCGCCGCCTGCAGCCCAGGGCGTGATCCTGGAGACCCTGGATCGAGTCCCACGTCAGGCTCTCTGTATGATGCCTGCTTCTCCCTCTGCCTGTGTCTCTGCCTCTCTGTCTCTATGAATAAATAAATAAAATCTTAAAAAAAAAAAGAAAGAAACCCGTTCTCCAGCAGCTCTGGGGGAAATTCTGAATCACTAGGAAATTGTTGAGGAGGTTAGGGATCTAGGGGCCTTCAGCTGTCTTACAGTGTGCCTGGACATATTTGGGACCCAGTGGCCTTAGGGGTGTCCGGGTATATTTGAGGGGCCATGGTGCCTTTGGCGGCATCTGGGGATGTCTGAGGTCCACCGGGCTCCCCCGGTGGTGTCCCTGGCCTGACCGCCGCTGACATCTCCCTCTTCCCACGTCTTCCGGCAGGAGCCCCGCGGCCTGGGCGCAGCCTCGTCGCCCTTGGCCGAGGCCGGCGCTCCCCGCCGCTTCCGGCGAGCGGTGCCCCGGGGCGAGGCGGCGGGGGCCGTGCAGGAGCTGGCGCGGGCGCTGGCGCACCTGCTGGAGGCCGAGAGGCAGGAGCGGGCGCGGGCCGAGGCGCAGGAGGCCGAGGACCAGCAGGCGCGCGTCCTGGCGCAGCTGCTGCGCGCCTGGGGCGCACCCCGCGCCAGTGACCCCGCGCCGGGCCTGGAGGACGACCCCGAGGCGCCCGCCGCGCAGCTAGCCCGCGCCCTGCTCCGAGCCCGCCTTGATCCCGCTGCCCTCGCCGCCCAGCTCGTCCCCGCCCCGGCCCCGGCCGCGGCGCTCAGACCTCGGCCCCCCGTCTACGACGACGGCCCCGTGGGCCCAGAGGCCGAGGACGCCAGCGACGACACCCCCGACGTGGACCCGGAGCTGCTGAGGTGCCCCAGCGAGGGGGGCAGGGGGCGGCGCCTTAGTGGGGCGGGGGCCCCTAGGAGGGAGTGAGGACCCGCACCCAGGGGCTGGGGCAGAGGTGCTTTGCCGGGGGGACTCTGGGGAACGGGACTCTTGGTCCTGGGGAGGGGGCTCCGCTGTCCGGTTTCTGGGAGGGGGTACTGGGAGGCAGGGAAACCAGAGGGTCTGGGATTGGAGGCCGGGACTGCTGGAAAGCAGTGGGCTGGGGACGACCTGGTCCCCCGGCTGTGTGGGGTAGCAGGGCCATCTGGGTCCTAGGGCCGCGACGTTATTGCGCGGGCACGTTCTCACTACCGCCCACTCCCGCTCTCCTGCAGGTACTTGTTGGGGCGGATCCTCGCCGGAAGCGGGGACCCCGAGGCTGTGGCTGCCCCGCGCCGTCTCCGCCGAGCCGCGGACCAGGATCTGGGCCCCGAGGTGCCCCCTGAGGGCGTGCTGGGGGCCCTGCTTCGGGTGAAGCGCCTGGAGACCCCTTCGCCTCAGGCGCCGGTGCGCCGCCTCCTGCCCCCCTGAGCCCCGGCCGAATCCTGCGCTCCTTGGGTCCCAGGACTGCTCCACCCCTACACCCCGACTGCTCCCTGTCGGCACGATGAGAGCGGCTTACCGGCTTACCGCATCAGCTGCAGTTGCGGCCCTCGACCCCCAACATCCCTGCCTTTGGCTCCACAATAAAGAGATCTGAAGCAGCCGCATGCTTGTCCGAGTGGCTGTCTCTAGGGGGGCTGGTGGGCCCAGCGGTGATGACTGCCCTCAGACAAAGGCAGAGGGGCCCCTGGTGGCACCTTAGAGTCCCCTGCCCCCACTCTGCCTCTCCTCACTGGGGGAGGCATCCATAAAGACAATAGCAGTAACCGGCCAGATCCTGTGCCCCACTCCAGAAGGCTTTGAGGACACTATCAGAGCCTGCAGCACCGTTTTCCTGGGGTCCATCCTTCTGAGGACCAAGGGGTGGCTGTGAGGGCTGAGTGGCTGGAGCTGTGCTGGCTGCAGAGGCCACAGGCACACCTGAGCGCTTCCTGCTGCAGGCCAGCAGGAGGTAGGCCTTCCCAACGGACACATTCAGGCATGGGACTCCAGGTCGTAAGAGAGGGTCTTTGTCAAATCAGGAAAGTAGGGTGTATTTTACTTGCATTTGTTAGCTTGATTTGTAATATTTATTTATAGAGTAGAGGCTCGCTGTAGTTGTACTCTTACCCTTGGCCTGAAGGTATTGGGAGTTGTGGTGGCAGCTGATTTATGCTCACAGCCTTTGCACTGGCTATTCCCTCTGCCCCTAGTTACCTGCAAAAGTTTTTTTAAGATTGTATTATTTATTAATGACAGAGAGAGAGAGGCAGAGACGTAGGCAGAGGGAGAAGCAGACTCTCCGTGGGGAATCCCATGAGGGACTCGATCTTAGGACCCTGGATCAGGCCCTGAGCCAAAGGCAGAGGCTCAACCACTGAGCCACCGAGGTGCCCCACCTTCAAAAGTTTTTACTCAAGTATCACCTACTCAGTAGGGCTTTCCTTGACCTGTCGCTCTTTATTCCTACACTCACTTTTAATACATAGCCTTATGTTATATCTCCGAGGGCAGGGATTTCTAAGTGTCTTGTTTGCCTCTACATCCTTTGCGCCCAGAGCAGGGCCTGGCATACAGTGGCCTCTCCCCAACATTTCCTGAATGAAAGAATTCTCACAATTCAAGTAACAGTCTCCCCAGTTTCACTCCCACCCACTTAACACTTGGCACAGAGGCAGCTTTGAAGCCTGAGAACACCATTTATTTAATTTTGCACAAAATCTCTTAGCTTGCCAGTAACCAATACTATGCCCCACATTCCCAAATGCCCGTCACCAAATGAAAACTTCCCCAATAGAGGGATTCTTATATCCCAACACACCAACAGTGTCCCACACAGCTAGTTGCTCTGGGGATCTCATGCCTAGGAACCACCACCCTGGCCTGGGGGAAGGCCACTTTTCTTGACCAAGAGCTTCAGGCCACGGAACAGCCACAGTGGCACATGGCCTTCTGGTGTCGGCTCTTATCTCCACTTGCCCCTGCCATGGCCTCCTTTGCCATGGCCTCCCGGACCTTTTGAATCTCATGAATGAGCAGGGTAAAGGCCTCTTCTACACCTTGCCGTGTCTTGGCTGAAGTTTCCACGAAGGGGGCTCCCCAGCTCTTTGCGAGGGCGGCAGCTGCAGCATGAGCATCTCCGGTGGTGGTCACAAGGTCACACTTGTTGCCCACAAGGACGAGGGGCTGGGTGTGGCGAGGGCCCCAGGTGGCCCGCATCTGCTGCAACTGGGCTAGAGACGAGGGGTCATCCAGGGCAAAGACACCCAGCACACCATCTCCAATAGCCACGCACTGGTCACGCAGGGCCCTGTGAGTGGCCTGCCCTGCCGTGTCCAGCACATTCAGAATGCAGACCCCGTGGCCCAGGGCCACCTCCTTCCAGTAGGAATCCTGGATCGTGGGGTCGTGGTCTTCCACAAAGCACTGGTGATTCAGCTGGATGGTGAGCGCACTCTTGCCCACGCCACTCGCGCCCACCACCACTGCCTTGTACTCGGGCAACTGCTTCCCGACACTCTTGGAGGGCGCCTGAGCCCTCTGGTTCTCCTCTCGGGAGCTAAGGCTCCACGTGCCCAGGCCCAGATCAAACATGTTAGGCTTTCTTGGCAGTGCCATCCCCTAGTGGGCAGCTCGGAGGAGGAATGTGGACAGCAGGCCCTGTGAAGGGAAGAGAAAAAACAAGACAAGGATGCCTAGGTGTGTGCAAATCACCTTCTAGTAGGCCATATATACACCTTAATTATGTTGTTTAATTTGTTTCATTCCTTCTATGTGAAGGCAGGGATTTTTATTTTATTTTAAAGATCTTATTTATTTATTCTGAGAGACAGAGACATAGACAGAGGGAGAATCAGGCTCCCTGTGGGGAGCAGGATGTGGGACTGAATCCTGGGACCCTGGGATCACACTGAGCCAAAGGCAGACACTCAACCCTGAGCCACCCAGGTGCCCCAAGGCAAGGATTTTAAAAACAGCTTGATTTAGACATAATTTATATATCACAAAGTTAATCTCGTTTAAGTGCAAGGTTCAATGTTTGTTTCGTTGTTCTTTTTAAAGTATATTCATACTGTTGTGCAACCATCTTCATAATCTAATCTTAAAACATTTTCATCACCCGGAAAAGAAAGTTCCTGCCCATTAGCAGTCCCTCCTCGTTCCAGAAGGAGGGTGGGGGTTTTGGTTAGTTTGGATTTTGGATTGTTATTGGATTGTTATCACTGCTGGTCTCCAGCCCACCACCAAGCTTGTCACATATTATATGCCAAGCAACATTCCTGTCCCCAGGGAGTTTGTATTCTAAAAGGTGGAGACAATAAACCAAACAAATCAGTAAATTATGAGGTCAGTTAGCCATTAACATTAGAATTTAGTCTTTCTTACGTATGCAGCATGCGGCTATTGAGAACCCACTGTGGGGCAAGGACAAACAAGTGGGGAGAATAGTTAAAGCAGTTAACAAACCCTTGGCCCCCAGGAACGTGACATACTAGTCAGGAAGACTCGACACCGAGAAAGATAAATCAGTAAAAACAGACGGAAACAATAGGTGATAAACACGCCGAAAATGCTTGGTTAATGTTAGGCCTCTTTATTATTATTTAATTTTCATGCATTATTTCCAGTGTTTTCCGGCAGGCCAGGCATTGTGATGGGTGTGGGGAAGGGAGGGGGGAGGTGTGAGGGTGGAGAAGGGGAAAGAACAAAATAGACTAAAATCCCTGCCCTTGGGAGGATTAGATTCTGGAAGTGAGGAGACAATCAACAACTTAAGCAAGTAAATTATCATGCAGTTTGGAGAGGATGGGCACACAGCAGGTACTCAATTAGCGTTAGCTATTAATAGCAAATTACCATTAAACTTATTCAATACACATCCAGGTCCTGGTTCAGTGTGTGGCCTCAAGAAATGCATCATAATGACTGCTACCTGGAGTCTCTCTGGAAACCCGGGGAGAATGTCAGTTTGGGGGCAGACCTTGGGTTCGAGGTATCCACAGAGAGTTCAGTTGAATTTGGAATCTGGAGGTCAGGGTTGGGGGCAGGGAAGGTCCCAGATGGGGATCCAGCTGGGAGGTCCCAGGCCCAGAGAGACTCCGGGCAATAGTTATTAGATGCACTGGCCCAGAAAGAAGGGCGGCCCTGGTGAAAAGCGGTAAACTGTGGACAGAACTCTGGGGGGAGGGTCCCCGAACACTTGGGAGACAGAAAGAGGGGGACGATGTAGCAGCAAGGACAGGTGAGGAGAGAGTGAGGGCGGAAAGCAGCGAGGAGGCCACTGCCCTGGTCCAAGGCCATCCATGGTGAGGTCAGAACCTGGCATATTCCTAGATTGGAATTGACAGGATTTGCTCCAACAGTAAAAGGTGGTGTTGGGGGCAGGGTGTGGAATCAAGATTAATTCTCGAGTTTGGGGTTCGGCAGTTGGGAATCGGAGGGTGCCCTGACCCGAGACCGGGGACAAGTGAAAGGGCTCTCCCTGTCTCCCTTGGCGACCAACACCTGGAGCGGTAAGGAGCCGCAGGAATTCTTTCCAGGAAGCTCGGCCTGCAGCAGAGGAGCCGCCCGATGGATGGCCCCCGCAACTCTTCCCACCACCCTCGAGAGGCTACCCTTCCCTACCCACCCAGGCCACTGTCAGCATGGAACAGGGAGGCCCCGGCAAGCGAGGTGGCGGTGGCGGTGACCCGCCCGAGGTCACACAGCCCCGAGATCAGACCAGACCAAAGGCAGAGGGGAGTCTGGCCCTCCCTGGGTGACACTGTGCCACTTTCTATGGGTCGAGAGCTTACGAGCGTCACCGTGGGGCCCTTGAGACCCTGTGACCCCACTTGGAGCCGGCTGGCCCAGGGCCATGTGGATTCGCCCGGATCCAGGGGTGCATGTTGGTGGGGGGAGGAAGGTGGCGGCGGCACCCGAGCGTGCACCCTTACGAGCCAAAACCCGAAACCGGTGCCAGGCCAACGCTTCCCCTGACTCGGCCAGGGGAGGTGCAGATAGGGTCGCACGAGTTTCCCTTAAAGCTGTCCCCTGTGCTCCGGGCGGCCCAGCTCGTCCAGTTCTCCTTTCTAGAGGGCCGGGGTCGCCCCAATCCCGAGCCTCGGGCCTGTAGCCCGGCTTCCTGCGTGGTACAGCGACCCGCACCCAGGTCTGTCTCTTAGAGGTGGCTGAGCGAGGGGCTGGGAGTGGTCACTGGCCACTTGGAATGGGAGGAGGTAGGGGAAGGGTCCCCTCTCAATGCCCACCTCCGTCATGCTCCCTCAGCCCACAGTGGGAAAAGACCCCTGGCTCAAGCCTCAGGGGCTGGAGGCCCAGAGGCAGTGGCTCACCTTGGTCCTGGGAAAGGCCGGAGTGCTCGACCCGAACCTGCCTGCCTCAGCTCTGACAGGACAGAGGACAAGATGCTCCCACCCTGTCTCAGCAGGTGTGTGGTGGGGGGCGGGAGACAGGAGGGAGAACGCATGCGCAGCAACGCTGCTCCCAGGCCCCTACAATGGCACGCCCCCTCCCCGCCCCACCCAGCCCCGCCCTGGGGGTAGGCATGGGGTCCAAGCCTCTGGCCAGCCACCTTGCACCAAGGAGGTGGTCTTGGAGATGCACGGAGCGGCCGGATCTGTTCCTGTACCCCCTGCTGCATCTCTCCCTTACCTTGCCCCTACCTTGCCCCTATCTGGGATGGGATTTCGTGTTTTTGGCGTGCGGAGGGTGTCAAGTTTGACCTGAATGGCCAGACTTTGTTATATGTCTCAAGAGGGCCCCAAGCGGTGGCGCCTGGGCTGCCTCAAGCAGGCTTTTGGAAAGTAGCTTGGGGGAGAAGGTTCGGCCTGCTTCTGGAGGGAAAGAGTTGCAGGGGAGGGTTATTGTATCAGGGCCTTAGGAATCTGATTTGAAGTGGATGTGTGTCAAGCTCAAACATTTCCCAGACTCCCTTGCAGCTATGGCAGCCATGTGGCACAGTTCTGACCAAGGAGATATAAGTTGAGGTTGTTGGTAGTGGGGAAGCCTCCAGAATGCTCTTTCAAAGATGGATGAATGATGGGGCTCTGTGGGTATCTTGGGTTCATAAGGTGGCCATGAAGAAAAGTCTAATAAATCTTAACCTGGTCTCTTCTGAGTTGCCAAAGAAATTCTCAGTATATGGGAGAAATAAAACCCCCAAAGTATCCTCCAGTTCCTCATGCCTGGTCAATGATGGGTACTCTGTTCTGGGGGAAGTTACCCATGACCACTAAATCTGAGTATGTTAAACCTAAACCACACTGAAATCAGGACAAAAACAGAGATGGGGAGAATGAGGCCTGGTGAGGACACTTCCTGTTAGTTGTCCCCCCCTTCTCAGCCCAGGGTGAAGCTGAGACTGGCAGTGAGGCTATTTCTAGGGCAGGCACTCATTTGCTCAGGGATTCCACCATTTAATCTATAGTAGAGCCAATCAAGCTGCTTGCCCTATTCCCAGTTAGTTTTTTGGACTCTGGTTGGGCAGGGGGTTGACCCGATAAAGACCCAGGCCCTCATTCCTTCATTACACCTTGGACCTGTTGGCCAGGGGTGTAGTGTTCTTTACTTACTTAAGGTTAAAAGGCTCTCTCCAGGTTTTGTAATAGCTTGTCCTTTATTACAAATGCAACTCAGCTATATATTGTCAGTTGATCCCCCTCCCTCCAAAGTATCAGGTTCAGGATATCAGCCCCCTCTTGGGACCACTGAACTGCCCCCCGTTTCTTTCCAGGGCAGGTTAGATGGAGTCCCTCAAACAGGCAGTGGGCAGGGAGAGATTTACAATTGATCATCACAGTCCTCTTACAAGTATTGATGCTTAAATCAGCATCCCAGGGGAGCTGAAAAGTCTTCAGGATGGGATGGAGTGGGGCTGTGCCTCATCTGAATCCTCAGAAGGTGGAGATGAGAAGCATTTTCTGGGATTTAGTGTGAGTGGGGCATGTCCTCCCCAAACTTGTTCTGGTGAGCAACGTTCTTCACATCTAGGAGAGCCTGAGGAGGCGAGAGAGGGTGGGAAGGAGAGTGAGGACCCCTCTACCTCAGCCAGGAGGTTGCCCCACACCAGTCCTCAATCACCCTTCTCCTGGACTGTCCTGTCCCCACATGCAGAAGCGTCCTCATTCTCCCTTTACCCAAGCACAGAAGGTCTGTGTGAGGGTGTGTGTGTGCGCGTGTTAGAGGCTCTGCCCAGGACCCACCTGGTGGTGGACATAGGCCTCACAGTTGTAACACCAGGTGGATAGGTCGACGTAGCTGAGGACCAGCGGGTGTCCTGAGTCTTCGTGGTGGTGGAGCATATGAGCACTGATGTAACGACCGCAGTAGACCTGAAGTTGGGAAGTGAGGATTGAGTGGGGATCAGTACCCACCAGCAGTCTGCTCCCAGCCAACCTCCACCCCAACCCCTTCTTCTGCTGCCTACCTGATAGCAAGAGAGACACACCCAGTTCTCCTGGAGCACTCCACAGTCCTGACAAGGTTGGGTCACGTCGAGGCCTGACTCAGGGATGGGGCACACTGCCACCAAATGGGGACACCAGGACAGTGGTGTCACAGCATAAAGCACGACCTGGAGTGGATGAAACTGAGTGAGCTAGGGACTCCATCTCCCTATCCCATGTCCCTCCACCACATTTTCCT